TATTTAACAAAATATAATATTTTTAATATTTAATATAATATTTTTATTTTTTATTTTGAATTTTATTTTTATTTAATTCTTGTATTTAATGTAAAAAAAAATTTTTTATGAATTAATTTTTTCTCATCAAGCACGGTGTTGTGGTGTATGAGGTCAGTGTTTCTGCTTTGTTGACTCTCTCGGTCTGTGTTTTCCCAGCATGCCGAGCGTCTGTCCGCTGCGGACGAGAGACGAGCGCCGTGATCGTCTTCAGGTCAGTCTCACCTCAGTGTTTCTCCCTCAGGTCTTGTGATTTTCTTGTGCTTTCTTGTGCTTTTGTGGTTTTGAGCCTGCAGCTGAGTGACGTTATGCATGAGTGTGTGCTTCATTCACATACCCACTATTTTTATTTAATTCTTGTATTTAATGTAAAAAAAAATTTTTTTATGAATTAATTAATTTTTTCTCATCAAGCACGCTGTTGTGGTGTATGAGGTCAGTGTTTCTGCTTTGTTGACTCTCTCGGTCTGTGTTTTCCCAGCATGCCGAGCGTCTGTCCGCTGCGGACGAGAGACGAGCGCCGTGATCGTCTTCAGGTCAGTCTCACCTCAGTGTTTCTCCCTCAGGTCTTGTGATTTTCTTGTGCTTTCTTGTGCTTTTGTGGTTTTGAGCCTGCAGCTGAGTGACGTTATGCATGAGTGTGTGCTTCATTCACATACCCACTCGCTCTTACACTGCACACTTTGTGTTAAATGTTTGGTAAAGTACAGTTAGAAACACAGTCTGAATGTTCTGAGCATTACAGGACCTCCTTTGGTCACCATGTGAATGAAATCTGCTTTGTAACCTTGTACTGCACTATTATTTCAATAACAGTTTTCCTTGGTAGTACAGTCCAGTTGAACCATAAACACGTTTGTTTAATACACTAGTTATAAATAAGGTCATTTATATGTTCTACTTAAAAAATAAATAAATTTAAAAAAAGCAAATTCAGAGTGTTTTATATTAAATAATAAGATAATTCATACTTTTTACTTCTCAAAAGTATAATTTCTACTTACAGTAAAATGATCTTGTAAATTTTAAATAATTTTAACATTTATATTTTATATTATATTGATATATTTTAGCTCTCACAATGAAAGTGTTAGTGTTTTACTGTAGAATTACATGTACAGAATTATCTATGTATTTTGATTGTAAATTATATAATTTATATAACTTCATTTTTTCTTCTAAAAAGAATAATTTCTACTTAAATTAAATTGTGATTATCTTGTTAAATCTAAAATAAATTACATTTAAATTATATTATACATTTTATATTATATATGTTTTTTATATTTTAGCTTTCACAGTGAAAGTGGATTTTACAGTAAACTTACATGTACAGTATAATGTATATTCTCATAGTAAATTATGCTTTTCAGAA